GCTGTGGAACTCGTCCGGGGTCTTGTCGCTCTGGCCGGCGCCCCCCTGCCGGAAACCCGAGGCGATCTCGTCGAAGGTCCGACCCTTGGTCTCCGGCACCTTGAAGTAGGTGAAGATGAAGAAGAGGACGAGCAGCACCGTGAAGATGATGAAGACGTAGGAGCCGCAGAGTTGCTGGGAAGGAAGGAAGGGAGAGGAGGGAGTGAGGGCGTGGAGGAAGATGGTGCTCCACCGGCGCGATGGACTATGGCTGAAGGTCCATCTAGCGACCACTGTGGCTCCTCCTTCCACCCTTCTATAGAACCTCTCAAGTTGGAAAGGGACCCATAAGGCCCATCAGGGTCATCTAGATCCTGGCCCCAACTCTCTTCCCTCAGGGCATTCACCCACCCGACCCATGCCATGCCGGGTCTGAGTGCTCAGGAGAAGTCACACCACCCAACCCGTAAGGCTTGTGCCCCACCAAGCCCAGTCCCACCACGAGCACCAGGAGATGATTACCGCGATGTACTGGAAGCCCATGCCCACAATGAAGTTGGAGGTCCAGTTGGACAGCCCAGCGACAGCGAAGGCAGCAGGACGAGGGCCTTGGCTGAACAGTTCTGCCACAATAAACCAGGGGATGGGGCCTGGGCCGATCTCAAAGAAGGCCACAAACCCAAAGATGGCCACGATGCTGAGGTAGGACATCCAGGGCATTTGGTCCTAGTCCAAGGGAGAGAGAGAAGGTCAGCTTGGTGAAAGGGGATGGGGGAGCTGCCCACCCCAGATGATGAGAGTCGAGCGGGGTGCTGCCAGAGAAGCCACGAGGTTTCTGCAGACTGGATTTCTGGGACCTCCAGAGAGATGTGGGCAGCAGGGACAGCTCATCCATCACCCCTAGGAGGACAGCCCTTCCTCCAGTCCTTCCAACCAGACCTCCACGTCACCACAACCACCCTCCTCCTCACGGCCCCTCACTCACCAGCAGGGTGAGGGCGATGGTCATGAGCACCGCGCAGCCGGCCATGCCCGCCAGGCCGATCAGGTGCAGGGTCCTGCGCCCGGCCCGCTCCACCACGAAGAGCTGTCGGATGGAGAAGGGCACCCATCAGCACGTCCCCAGCCAGGAGGGAAGCCCCCCCCTTCTCTCCACCTTCCCTGGTGGACCAGAACTCACCGACACGACTGTGAACGCCGTGTTGACCACGCCGGAGCCGATGGTGGCGTAGACGGGCTGCTCCACGCCAGACTTCTCGAAGATGCTGGTGGAGTAGTAGAAGACCTACAAAGGGCAGGGATGAGCCATGTGGAAAGAGGTCTTGGAGGCAGCACGACCCAAGCTGTGGGTGAAACAAGCTGAGCCATGTTGTCCAGGTCCCTCCCCACACTCACTGCGTTGATCCCCGAGAGCTGCTGGGACAGCTGCAGGACGATGGCGATGAGGATGGGCTGGCGGTACATGGGCGAGCGGAAGAGCTCCATTATGGTCACCTTCTTCTCCCTCATCATTTGTCGGCTCTCCTCCTTCATCTCCTGGAGGTCGCTGCTGACATCCGTCGTGCCCCGCAGCTTCTTGAGGACTAAGTGGAAGAGGTGAAGTCAGGAGCAGCTGAGGACCCTCCTGCGTGGTGGGCCGAGCTCAGAAACAGGGTCACTCACCACTCTTGGCTTTGTTCTCCTCGTTGCGGTTGATGAGGAGGAAGCGAGGGCTCTCGGGGGCGAAGGGCAGGATGATGCACTGCAGCAGGGCAGGGATGAAGATCAAGCCCAGGAGCAAGGGCCAGAGGGACTCGTTTCCCATGATCAAGTCCAAACCGAACACCTGAGGACAAAAGGGGTTGAGCCACCCTTTCAAGTTGGACCCAACTCTGCTCCTTGCAGGTGGAGCTCCAGGCTTGGATCCTCAGAGGGACACTGACGGCTGCGTTGCTTCCAGGTGGCCAACAGATATCACATCATGCTGCTGCCCATCGCAGACCTCAAGATCTCACAGCCATCCCCACTCCCACCATGCTCCAGGTCCCCTCCTCCAGCCCCAGCTCCGTTGAAGGACCGTGCAGCTCCAAAGCTCTGCACTGCTGCACTAAACCCCATCCCCTGCAGACCCCGATGAACATCAGCACCGCAGATGGGAGAACTCTCCCCCCACCAGCCGGTTCTCCCACACTCACCTGGGCGATGAGGATGCCCAAGACGATGCCGAGCTGGTGGAAGGTCCCCAGTGCACCCCGCAGAGCTGTGGGTGACACCTCGCCCACGTACATGGGCACGAAGCCGGTGGTGAGGCCGGAGTAGAGGCCGATGATGAAGCGGCCGAGGATGAGCATCTCGAAGGAGAAAGCCATCTTGGAGAAGCCCATGAGGACAGCAGACAGGAAGGCGAGAATGTTGGACATCAGCATGGAGTTGCGCCTGAGGAGGGAAAGGAGGAAGGTGAGGATGACCACAGGGGCAAGAGAGGCTTAAGGGGTGTTGGGGGGACCCAAACAACAGCTCTTGACAGGAGCGAGGTGCCCAAAACCACCCTGCTGGGGTGAAGCTGCACAATCACCCCCTCCTAGCTGAGGTCCAGCGGGGCTTTGGCGCTCACCGTCCGAAGCGATTGACGAAGAGCCCCACGGAGAACGACCCGATCATGCCTCCCACAGAGAAGATGGCGACGGAGAGGGACCAGAGCGTGGTGAGGGTGGCGGGGCTGATGGGCTCCTCGTATCGGTGCAGCCACGTGCGGTTGTAGAAATCCTCAATCACCTGCCGAAGGC